TAGCCTGACCACAACCTCTGGGCATGTAATGGTGGGATGAGATGAGAAATTTGGAGGTGGCCTGATGCTGATGTTACAGGCACCCTGCCTGCAGGCTCGCTTCTGGCACAGAGTATTGCCCTCCCCTTTGGGAGGGTGATGACCCTTCTCGCGCCATCCCCCAGCAGTGCTGTTCATTTGGCCTTGAGGTGTTGGTCCTTAGGTGGCTTGGACGTGGGCTACCCTGTCTATCCCTCCTTTACTTTGGCGGTAGACTCCTCCAGCAAAGGTGCTGTAATCTCTTTGGCAGAAACCACTCACCACAACCCCTCAGGCCACCCCTGTGTGCTCCTCCTCTCCTCTCCTCTCCTCTCCTCTCCTCTCCTCTCCCTCCTCCCCTAGTTCCCTTTGCATGCCATGCTCACCTTCCCTTGCTACTCCTTGAGCCCATAGTCCTCCTCCTTCCTCACCAAAAAATACCCTGTGGCCTGTCCTACTCCAAGCTCCACCTTTCCGTAAGGTGCCCTAGGTTCCCTCGGGTGCCCAGGCCTGCACCCATGCAGTGGGCACACTTCCCCCCCACCCCGGGGCTCCCAGTATTACCCAGGGACTGGCTGCATTGTGCCTGTGCATGGCGCCTGACCCGGGGGCTGCCCTTGTCTGCCCTCGGCCCTCCCTGTGCTCGGCCATGAGCTGCACTGGCAGCCAGGAGTGATTCAGGCGCTGCACAGCAAAACCCAACACTGGGCTTATGCTGCTGCTAAAGAGACCTCTCGTGACTACAGCTTGTTGATGGCACTTGGTTTAACAATGTAAGTTTATTTTAAAGCAAGCAACGGTAACTTGCTTGGTCCTTAAAAATGGGTACCTGGTCAGTATAGTACATTGATTTAAAAATTAATCGCTCGGGTTGTTTTAATGTAAGTAAAGTTGCCTGCTAATATAGTCCTTTTACTTACCTATTAAATTTTGAAACCGGTAATGAAACTTTCTTATTACTGTCCATTTTTGCACTACATGGGCAGAATAAAGGATATGGTAGGGATTTGAAAGCTCTGTCCAAAAACTTGATGATTAGGAGTTGAGAAATGGTAGCTGTGGTGGTAGTGAGGATCCCAAGGAGACATTAGAGAGAATAAATTCAAATCACACTTAAAAGAAAGTGTAGATTACATGTCACTAAAGTGGATTTCTGGAAAACAGTTTTCAGTTCCAGATATATTCACTGCCTTTTCCTCTCTCCAACCTGACCTCCTCAAATAAGATTGCTTCTGTTTAGTCTGTGCCAATATGAATTCTGATGGGATCTGATGGGATCTAAACTATGTGGGAACTGAAAAGCGTACCTCCTACGTGGACATCAATTTCCTTCAATTTATTGTTGACAGCCTCTTATGTGACTTGTTCCTCTTAGGCCAATTTAGTGATTTCTGTTCAAAAGATGAGAAGCAACCAAAGACTGTCTCAACAGCCAGAAAGTTCCTGTCAGGAAACTAAGTAAAAGCAAAGGATGAACTTAATTTGAAATTTGTAGTAAACTCAGAATTTTCCTGTGAAAAGTTAAGTTAAATTGTTTATATTCATGAGCTTCTAAATTAAATACATCAGATGTAGTGCTTTGAAGTGATTTTTTTCTTTAATCCCCCTAACTCTCATAAAGAGACTAGATAATCTCCCATTTATTGCAATGTAAGACATAGTTGAAATACATGATACAGTTTATCTCTGCAAAGTATGAAAGTGCATTTAAAATAATTTTAAAACTGCTAGCATAACCAAAAAAACCCCAATTTTATTTATATTCCTCTGGCTATTTCAATAAGAAACAGATGGCATTAAAGCACAGCTTTTGCATGCAGCATCCTACCAACTTAAATGGCAAGAATTTTACATCCTGACTCCGTAACTGGGGCCACACCATGTTCTCCTCAAGGCTCCCTGTGCTACTTTATTCAGCAGAAGGATTCCTCCCCAGAAATCTGTCTTCAGTTGTTACATTAGGGAATTAAAGTGTACAGTAGCTTACGTACAGAGATATCTTACGTGAACTGTAGACCTTTAATTCCTGCTTTTGGGTAACAAATGAAACCTTGCATATGCCCAAGGTGACATTATGGAACTATGGGGAATGTATTGTTTCTAAGCAGTGGTGGAAGTCTCTCCAAGTAGGAAAACAGTACTGTAAATAGCAAGGTATTCTTTTATAAAATCGTAATATTAAAACACAAAGCTTGGACTTACAGAGACTTGGTTTAAATACTGTTGAAACAAAATGGAGACTTCAACAGGATGTGGGAATTGGGCTGAAGATGATTACGTTCATGTTTCATTTTATTCTAAGTATAATAGCCATATGCCTAGTACATTGAACTAAAATAAGAATTCCAGCATGCTTGGAAGTCTTCTGTGGAAGCTGGAAAATATTCCATGAAGATGCATGTTGTCAATACCCTGTTTCTTTGTTTACAATGATATTACTGTAGATGTGCATCCTGGATGTAATGAACTTTGCTGTGGTGAAAAGAGGACAGGTAGGTTCACAGTAGCTGAGGACGAGTGGTGAGGTTTGAACCACGTCTGTGATTCAGGGTTGTTGGTAAGCATTAGTGTTGGCTTAAGTGGCATGCTCATATGGGAGTATCAGCTCTTAAAATAAGTGATACTAAGCAAACAAAGTGAGTTTCGGTGTAATAGGGAATAAGGTAAAAAATAAGTAGCAACAGCCTACGTGTGATTGCCTTGCTTAAACATAGGTAACAAATATATATTTGTGTCATATTGCACTATACCAATGATAAGGAACATCTGCATTCTCTTTGTTCACATTGCCTATTTGATTTTTTTCAAATATGATATATTTGTAACATGATATAAAGTAACCTTTTTACAATGATGTTTCCTTATCACTTCGGAGTTCTAGATGTTTTTTCAGTAAGAATTTCACTTCTCAATTGGATAATTTTCTTCTTAACATTGTTCTTGTACAAGTTGTGAAAGCAGGAAAATATTTGTAACTGTGATCCTTTAAATATCAGGAAAATTTACTTGTTTGTTTAGGGGGGAGAGAGAGAAAAAGGTAGAAAAGCTATCAAGTTTACAGAAATAATCACTTTCTAAGTCTGCAGGCCAAGATTTTCAAGGGATATATGATTCTGTGTATTGCCATTCTAGGTGCCAAACTTGAAAATGCAGGGATTGAATATCTTAAAGTGTTTCAAGATAGATACTTGAGGTCAGGCATTATTTAGACTGAAAACCATTGTCATGAGTTGTCTGTTTTAATATTTGAAGTACTTTTTCCAAAAATGCAAAGTAAATGATTCAGAAAGTTCTATCCTGCGTTTATAAATAGACTTGTTGCTTTCCATGTTAGTCAAGTTCTTAATTTTAGAATATTTCAAAATGCTGCAATTCAATTAGGAAAATTTTACTTCGGGCTAATACTCAAGTAGTGGCTAGACTACATTTCTGTCATTCATTTACTGTATTTGTTTCTGAAATCATCATGAAAGAAGTACTATTTAAAAAAAAGGCCTTGTGATTCTGATTTTGTTTTTATAGCAGTGTGAAGAGTAGAAGATTTTCCTGAACTGGTTTGTGCTTGCATAAGCTGCTAGGAGTAGAAGTAGCATGACTACATGTGGTTAGTGTACTTTAAATAGTAACCATGGAGTATAAAACGCTCAGTTTTGAATTGAACTGTTGGGGCAGAAGCCAGGGCTTTTTAACCTTCTAGTCTCTAAAGTCTGTGTACCAGAGCTTATTTTGAAAACACTTTGAGATTTAATTGTGCATTTAAAGTGGAGTAACAGTAGTTTATTAATTCTAAAACCTGAAATGATGCATATCCATCTTAATGCATTATAATAATTATTTTAGTTGACGTGATTTTTATGCAGTAATTTATTTTTGACATTTCTAGAGTTAATCTCCTTTAATATATATACATATACACTCCTATTATGTTATTTTACTAATCTTATTTAAAAAGGGAACATTACATATTGAATACTGTACCTCAATTTTATTGTAATGATTTTACTGGTTACCAGGTGGGGTGGCAGTTGAAAAATTTGGTGAATGCACTACGAGAGGATCCGAGTGGTGTTATCTTAACTTTGAAAAAGCGACCTCAGAGCATGCTTACCTCAGCACCAGCTTTACTGAAAAATATGAGATGGAAGCCCCTTGCTCTGCAGGTAATGAAGCTTAATCATAAGTCATACACCATCATTTTAACTATAGATTATCTCAATGATGCTTTATTGTGCTTCATCTCAGCAGCATATGGATTTACTCTTGTATACTTTGAAAAATTGTTTCTGAAATGATTTCTCTGCAGTTTGTTCTCATAGGCTCAATTGAAATTAAACCTGTTATTAGAACTTTTCAAAATTAAGAAGCAATTGTCCCAGTGTTTTACAATGCAGAAGAGTAGTCCCAGGTAACTTTTCTAGCCAAGGAGAAACAAACATACTTCAGAAACTGATAAATTTTAGTCTGACTTCTTGTTAAGCTCTCAGTGCAGTATAACCTCGAAGAAAGAGGGGAGGAAAAGATCTTGAGTTCTCAGTTTGATCAATCATGGAGTTACAGGAAAATTTATAAGGTGATTTTATTCAATAAACCACTTGACCATCAAAATTTCCTCATGTAAATAAAGTCGTATTTGTGTCAGAGCTGTCCTTGAGATTGAACTCTTGTACATAAGGAGGTGTAGCACAGGATGTCCGGCTGGGCCTTTAATTTTAGTAAGCTTGCAATGTGCTGAAAACCATGGAATGATTTCATTAAAGCTTTCGTGTTTCACTCTAGGATAAAATGTCACTGTGATGGATTACTCTTAGGAAATAAAAGTTATGTCCAGACTGATGAAAGCATGTAACCAACAGATGGAACTGACAAATAATCCCTTTTTTCATTCAGTTCAGATAGAACAATGTTTAGAAATTTATTTTCTTTGCATAAAGAATGCATTATTTGGGACATTTTTATTATCACAATAAAAAGTCTAATTTAAAATTAAGTACATTTGAGAGAGAAAAGACTTCTGCAAAGTTCGGTCAAAAGGAAAATGAGATATGGAAATGCCACTGCCAGTAGCTGTGGTCTTTGCCATTTAAAATATTGAGATGCATAAAAAGAACTAATGCCATGAAGAACTGCTTTCAAATATGTGTATATATATATAAAAATTATTTTATAATGGCTAAATGCATCATTGTCTTTGAAACTGAGTAAGTTTTTAAATGATTGAGATGTCTTGGTCTTTCAGATATAAAGTACTGACTAGACATGTGACAAAAAACTTTCAACCAAAAATATCTTATTGTCGTCTGAACATAAAATTGCAAATCTGTATGCGTGATATGAGTGTATGAATGTCTATACTTGAAGGCTGCACTTTTATCATAGCTTTAGTGAGAACATAAATACAAATGAAAAATGCACATCATTGCTTTAAATGGGGTCAAATGCTTTCAGTCTAAATCCTCTTTGGGTGAGTTTGGTATTTCTTTGGGTGAATTGGGTCATTCTCATAAATATTTCTTTTTGCTTCACTTTATCATTTGCCACTAGAATAATTGCACTGAATACCCCACAACAGAAGTTTCTGACATGGGCCATTGATGCAGACAATAGCAAATAAGCAATTAATTCAAGACAGGCTACTCCAAAAGGGTGGGAAGAAATTGGATAGAAACCAATTTCCACCATTTAAACTAAGTCCAGTAGGAAAGTGAGGATTCCTGCGGTCCTTTTACAGTGAATGCAGTCATGAGCTTAAGTTGTGGGCCTGTTTGAAACTCCACACTCACTTCCAGAAGCAAAAATCCAGTCATCTTTTAGTGTGTTTTATTTGGCTCTGATTTACATCTCAGCATCCTTATAGATACTAGGGTGTAATTCAACTGATCTAACTTTAGGTATCTGCTATGTGCATATCTACATATCATTCAGGTTTCTCATTTTTACTCCCTTTGGCCAGTGGACATATGTAACAGTTACTGGTTCATTCATCTTGGCCTATTTTAGACTGATCTGCCTTAGGATGAGCTGGATTGGCCCCTGCACATGCCTCTCTCTCTCAATTTGTTGATAAAGGGAGTCTGGACAGCTAGCTCGAATGGAGATTATCTGTATTAGATAAGATGAGACTGACCCTAGATGGAGGTTTTCTGTAATCTTGCAGGTTTGGGGGGGAGGGGTGGGTAATGGGAGTATTGGTTTTGGTGTGGTTTTTTTGCTGAGAGCATAGAAAATATGAATATTTTTAAGGCTAATATGAGTACAAATAGAGATACTGTTAAACATTAGAGATATAATTCTGGTATCATGATGCTATTGTTCTGATTTTATCACGCATGACACCAGGAAAAGGCCAGAACCTCATTCAACACTTATGTGTGAAGTGTGCATATGTATGTCTGTTGTAATTTGTGATTTTAGTGTGAGAAGCAACAGTTTTCTTAAGTAGACTGAGTGTCGAAAGAGCTCCAGGGCGAAGTGAAGACAAACTTCAGAAGCTGCATAATGTGGAGATTTCTGTTGTTAATTTATGCAGATCAGAGGTGAACAGATGTTAAAGTCAGATGATGTTAAATTTTAAATGTAGCCTAAGTGTGAAATCGGTACTGTATGTTTGATTAATAACAAGCAGCGAAAGCATTCAGAGTGCAGTGTAATTTTATAGCTATTAAAAATATGAAGAAACAGTGTTTATTTAACAGAATTTACTTCAAAAATTTCTGAAAAAAATCTTCAGAAAAGCTGTATGTTTTGTAATTGCAATTTGCCCTATGGCTGTTGTGAAATTTCTTATGTTCCTGATTCATGTAAGGGTGCTATTCTTTAATAGGAGCTTGGGAGGTAGTGTGAGAGGGGGAAAGTGATAGCAAATAGGAATAAAACATGAGGAAAAGCAGTATTTCCATCACCTTTGGAAGCAGGGGAAATTATGATAACTTGTTTTCCTATATCAGGATGTCATGAAATAATTGAGAATGTTATAACTGTGCTGTCATCCCAGAGCTGAGTTAATTGAACCATAGGTATTATTCCACAGACACAAACTATAAGGAAATTATGACTCAGTAATAATTCTGTTAAAGTACAAAATAGAAGCAAAATATTCAAAAGACTCTGGAATAAGATATGGGGATGAAATTCTGATAAAATGGGAATTAGGATCTGCAAACTGGCTGCTGTGGATTTTTTGGTTCTTCAAATGGATTGAACAGAGGAAAAATGTGGTGTCACATCCTAATCAAATTGCAGCGAGTGAGGTGGGAAGGTAGAAGTTTGCCCTAATGTAAGGAGGCTGACACAAAAGCAGAGACTGAGTTTTTGTATGCGCCCTACAAATGAATATGTTTGACAGCTGTTGCAGCAAATGTAGAAGGTAAATATTTCAGTGAATTAAATTGAGACACATTTACATTGAGATTTACATTGGGATGTTTTAATTGAGAACCGTCAAAACTTAATTTTAGCTGAAATTTGATAATGTTGAGGCATTATTGGTAAATTGCATTCTGCTTGTTTAGTCAATAATTGTGTGTACAAACATGAAGTTTGCCATTTGCAGCTACGTGAAAAGCTAGACTTAATGGAGAGATACTAAGTATGCCTGTAAGTTGGGAAGGTGCTAGACAAGTCTTCCAGTTCAGGCAGTATGCAGGTACTACCCGTGTATCAAGCAGTTTGGTGTGTGAGTGACAGGGCATCCTGCTAATTAAATTATGCATTCTGATAACGAAATTTTTAAGAGCTTGCTGTCCACTGGTAGTGATCTAGATTAGCCGTATGCCAGCCAAACGTTCATGGTCTCTGAGTGTGGAAAACGCTTTTAGATCATTCAGATATTAACTGGTTACTAATTGGCATAAATATTTCTCAGAATGTTCAGTGGTTTACTTTGAACAGCTCTGCCTTCACATCGCAGTCTTGCCATGAATTACAAGTTAAATGCAGTCTACGTAATTATTGATTAATTCTTTGGGTTTTTTTTTTCCTTTTTAGCAGAAACGTGGTATATTCATTCTTTTCACAAATATCCTTATCCTTAGAATAAATATGAAAGGTTAGGGGAAAGAAAGAAGAAGAACTATGCATCCTGTGTAGCAGTCCTGAAACTGATATCGAACGGCTTGATGTACAGTAAAATAATGCGATTATCCTATGGCTAAACTATGCACCATTACATAATGAGTTTGTATTTACAAGTGCATTAATTCCAGCTCTAAGGTCAATCAGTACAGAAAGAAAACCATCGGTTTTTTTCCCTTGTGTCCTCATTAAAGGAAGTGCTGGTTGTTTGGTGGTTTTTTTTGTTTTCAGTCACTTGATGATTGTCTGTTTTAATATCCATCATTATCTAACTTCTTGCAGATAATCAAAGTTCTCTCTTGACACATTCTGCAATCATGTCAGAATTTATGAAGTCAAGGGATTTTTCAGCCTGTGTTTTTCGTTATTGCTTTTATAACATTTGAATTAGGCAGCTGTGGCCTTGGGGAATTTTGTGGTTGCCTTTGCAATTGAAGGTATTCATTAATATGGTATTGTACCATAAATATTAAGATGTTATGCCTGCAAGACAAATCTTACTAAATTTGTCTTTCAGTTACTTTTTCTAATACTCTGATCCGTTGTGTGAAAGCCTAGAATGACATTTCAGATTACAATGTTTGTATTTCTGACGGCTGCTGAATGCGGTGAACAAACCAAATAAGTTTAACCTTTAATTTTTTTGTTTTTCTTACTTGACATAGAGGTGACTTAATTATCTTTGAACTCTCCAAATTTTTGTCTGGTTCAAAACCTAACTTAAATAAACATCCTCTACTCTAGATTGTCTGCTTTATTTCTCCTTTCCGCTTTGTGTTATTTTGGGGGGGTTTCAAAGGGAGGCTTCCCGAAGCGTTGTTTGAACAAGGGTGGAAGGTTCGATAGAGAAGATTCTCGGAGCATATGAAATCTTCTGTAAGTCGCTATCATCACGGTAGCAAGAAGCTAGCTGCAAAGTCCTCCTTTGCCTTCTGGAAAGTGCTTTGTGAATTAGTCAAAAGAAACTGGACTTTGACTACAGTGTGGAAGACTCTTCATCCAGTTTCTTTATAAAACAGAAAAGGAGTGGTAGAGCAACATGTTGCCATGCTTCGGCTAATTTGGGCTACGCGCTGCCAGTATCAGTGAA